CCTCTTTTAACCACTATCATTCGGCGACAGCTTTTCCCTCTCTTTCCGCTGTGCTATAAACGAACTTGAGAGGTGTTCATCTAAACTTACAGTAGAGTTTCAATGATGTGAAACTGCGACAGATATGAATTTGTGAAATTCCCCAGCCAAATTCATGTGTTCAGTCGGCCAAAACTTGAATGTCCTGAACACTTTTTTAATCACAGCATGTGATATGAACTTTACTACTGAAACCGTTGAACGAAGGCCGATCGAGAGCAGCGTGCTCAAAGCTTCGGAAGTAGGAGTGCGACCAGCACACACACTGTCTTGTGGTTGTCGTTGCCACAACTTCTGTGGACGAAACCACGTTGGTTCGACACGATCATGTATGGCGACGATGTTATTGACAGAACTTCTAAAGTGTGCGCACGGCCAATGTTCGACCAGTCAAAGCATCGCTTCTTTTCGAAAACTCTGTGAAGAAAACTGCGCCAGTTGCGACCATATATAGCATAAAACGACTTAGTTTTGAAAGCACATGGTTTGAAAACAAAACTACCGTTTGTCGCTAACCACCGCGCACAAAAGCGGGGTCGCCACAATGCGATAGCAATCTACGAGCTCCGAGGGCATGTGGCTGATGCAGCGATATGATGAAAGGCGGTAAAGATGAAAAAAGGCAGAAGTGTTTTGCCATTCCTGTCCAAAGAATCTAGTAGCGAACAAAGCGAAAGCTTTGACCCGCGCTTTCGTGGCAGCCATCTGCGCCATCCCATCTGTTGACGTGTGTCCCAGGAAGACATATGCGAGTTGTTTTGATGGAAATATATTTTGCTAGTTTTTTTGATGATGCCAAATTTCAGCCGAGAGCATTTGCACTCCCCCTTTTAGACTCTCACCTTAGTGGAAAACCCTACTCTCGTGTGCTGGGCCGCTCCAAGCTATTACGAGACCGCTGCACCGATGTTGATTGATTGATTGATTTGTGGGGTTTAACGTCCCAAAACCACTATATGATTATGAGAGACGCCGTAGTGGAGGGCTCCGGAAATTTTGACCACCTGGGGTTCTTTAACGTGCACACAAATCTGAGCACACGGGCCTACAACATTTCCGCCTCCATCGGAAATGCAGCCGCCGCAGCCGGGATTCGAACCCGCGACCTGCGGGTCAGCAGCCGAGTACCATAGCCACTAGACCACCACGGCGGGGCACTGCACCGATGTTAGCGCTTGCGTTTGGGACCCCCCATCGTTTTTCACGATGTCTTCTTTTTGTTTGTTTCTGTTGGTGCCAAAAATGGGGGAAATAATTCAGCACTTTTATTTGACTTATGGCGGCAAAACATGATTATGCTTGTCGCTAAAGGCAAATATATCGCAGCTACGAATATAAAAAAAGTCTGTAGCCCCCACTCCCCTCCCCCTCCCGCTAGGGAGTTTTATGAATTTCTCTGTTGGCAGGTATTCATTTGAGAGGGAGAGCAAACATTCTGCCTCAGCCTTTTCTTTTCTTCTTTCGCGCGCAGCGTTGAGGTGTCGGAGGTGCTGCCTTGGAATCGGGTGTGGTGCTGAGAGCATTTTCGGCTCGCGGTATGTTCGTATTAACCGTCGCAAGTGCTTGCGCCTTCGAGTTACAGGGCGTTTTCGCCCATTGGGATACACATAGCTTTGACGGGACCACAGCGTCAGTTTCAATCAACTGAAAGTTCGAATTAAGCGTGTTCGAAATAATGAGATTGGACACTAGTAAGTTACGCTTTCATAATTCCAAAATCATCATGCTTGCCACGAGAACTCTCTTGGTAAGCAAACGATTGTGCAAAAAAATTTTACTGCTCCAAGGTGCTCCTAATTGCAAGATTATCTGCTTCGAAATTCCCCAAACCGAAAATTTTATTGGTCCAAAGTGCTCCAAAACTAAAATTTGACTGCTCCAAAAATTGCTCCAAATCGGCAGTCCCCAGTGGGATCACTGGTAAATTTTCAGAGCACGCTTTCTTTGTTAAACACAATATTACTGAGAACCAGCAGAGAGTGAACTGCATTTATAGCAAGGGTCTCGTTCTGGCAGACTTGATGCCTTAAGGTGGCATGTGAGGGATTAGTGGTCAGCTCGTAATAGTACTAATATCACGTGTGATGCGACGCCAACAGGCAAAAAGATTGTTTCACACTCGCTGCAATGGCAACAGGCAGAGCTGACTGACGCTCTCACATTTAAATACACACACATACCCAATAAAGTAGACAGGGGGATGACTGCCACCATAGCTCAGTGGTAGAGCATGAGACACATTATTTTAAGGTCACAGGTTTGGATACGGGCAGTGGAAAGTTATCGTTTTGTCCACTTTTTTTCTTCACATTTACATTGCCATTACTTCTGACAATATCCCCTATGCATCTCTTGGCATCATTGTCTGTTAGTTCTCGATAATATTGTGTCCAACATGAATATTCTGTACTTTTTACACTTGTGCAAATAGTGAATTTTAGGTTCGAAGTCAATTCGAAGTTAATAGTGATTTTGGCAGAGTAATTTCGAACCGAGTTCAAATACTATATATCACATGAATAAAATTGGGCATAGATTTTTACTGCACAGTATTGTTAAAAAATTGAAACAAGGCCTGTGGAGATGCCATTTTTTTCTGTTCAAAGGAAGTAGAAACTACTACTTTCAATAGTTGCAGGATTTGACTTTCAGTAGAATGCAAGTGATAACCTGTAAAATATCTTGCGTTTTAAGATTAAATATTGTGAGAACATATAAGCCTGTATAATAAGCTCTTCAATTTAAAAAAATGAATAATTAATTTGAGGGCAATATTTTATTTAAAGGTGAACATTTGGAAGAAGTCTGCCTGGTTGGGATAGTAAGTGAGGGAACAAGATATCTCCAACCAATGTGGCGCTTCACAGCAGTGCAGATTTTTATTAATTTTTATATTTTATTTAGATGGTTGTTTTTGTGGCCTATCACTTTACTGCAGTGAACCACCTTTACAAGAGATTACAGTCCGATACAACTGAAGAAGTCAGACGACTGAAGCGCGACAGCTCAGCGGCTAAAGAAATTAATCCCCCACTCCTTTCTCGGCAATGTTCTCTGCTGGTGGAATCAGTGGCCATCTGGTTCATGACATCAGTATGGAGTACACAACCATTGGTGCAGGCTTGTGTGTGTCCGCCATTGAGGAGGTTGTGTCGCTGACTTCTAAAGTTGTAATTGACTGTAATATGTAGGCTTGTGCGAATAGTGCATTTTAGGCTCAAAGTAAATAGTGATTGTGGTTGAATACTGTCAAATCTAATTCGCATAGTATACATGTCGCATATTATTTTTAAAAATGGGCATACTTGTCATCACCAAACTAACCTGCACAATATTTTTAAGAAATAAAAATAAGGGCTGTTTAAATGCCATTTTTTTTGCTTCAAAGAAAGTGAAAAAAGGTTCAAGTAGTAGAGGCTTTGAGTTTCAGTAGAATGCAAGTGATGGCCTCTAAAATATGTCACTTTTAAAAATTTGTTATACTTGAAGCATGTAGGTCAGTATATGAAGCATTTAAACTTCAAAAATTAATTGGTGTGAGGGTGATGACCTCATTTAACTTTGAAGTGGTGCCTTGCGGCAGTGAGAATTTCTCCTGGCTACGTGTTTTTACAGTTTAGCACCATTTCTCTCAGTGAAATCACTTTTGCAAGGTGGTTACATGCATGCGAACTGATATGCACCTGAATGAGTGCTTTCTTGGTTTAGCACCACCTCATTGCAGTGGAACCACCTTTACAGGGTGTCATATGCTTTTGTGCGTTTGTTTGTTTCAAACAATTCAAAGTTTTCAGTAATTTATATTCCAATGGAAGCAAATTTGAATGCTGCAATATTAATTTCAATAATGAAAGCATTCAAATGTTGGCTCAAGCCTACCTTATACTCGTCTACTCAATACTCGTCTACTGCAGGCTTAATACTCGTTTACTGCAGTGAAACCACTTTTACAAGAATTACATGTAGAGTAATCTACATCTATTTGCTCATTTCAAATACTTTGAAATTTTAAAAATTTGAATTCAATTCGAATATTTTCATAAGCCTAGTATTTTATCAAGTTTAGATTGCTTTGAAGTGTGAGGAGACTCTTAGCTTTGCCTGATAAGCACCATGTGATTCATAAGCCTCAAAAGCTATGAGTAGCTTGGAAATTTATGTAGATTAAAAGTCTTCAAGGATCTGTCTCCACTAGGGGCAAGTTCACCAGGTGATATCCATCATCTTCAGGGTCAGAATTGATGGTCTTGTTCAGTTGTAGACATGTTGAGCCAGGCTGGCCACATAGCACCATGCTGGCAGCAATGGGATAAACTGAGGGTGTATTGCATCTTTTGTTGTGTCCAGAATACAGTTGTATGACTCTATACTTAAAAATGTATAAAGCAACTCTTCCTGCCACTCTATCAGATTTTCCGCATTTATATCACAAGTCTGTCCTCAGACTACCATAATATGTTCTATACAAATACAGTCTGTTGTGTTTAAGAATTTGTTACATGTTTTCGATATAGGCTGTCACAGGTTCCCAAGCTATATTTGTACGTTTATTCTCGTCAACTCCTTATTGTGATTGTGAATGCATTGTGTCGCATCAGAGTGGCTTGAAATGAAAGCTTTCGTTGGTTGTTGTGCCTTTGGCTAGGATCCTTGGACTTGAAGGTCACCTGATCACTTGTAGAATTCAATTTGAAAAGTGTGGTTTCGGAAGCATGTTAGTACTGAAAAAAGGAGCTAGTGGAGAAGAGAGTTGTCAAGTGTTCGCTGTGCTAAGTGGCATTCTCCACGGCTTGATGTTGGCGGCAAACACAGTTTGCAGTGGCAACACTCTTCTCAGCCCCCTTTTATTTGTCTCTGTTGGCCCTCACTGCCTGCAGTAAGTTTTGCTTATGTTGCTGTGGTGCAGCAGCCCTTTCATTAGCTCCACTTTTATTGTTTTTTCTTCTTCTCCTCCCCTTCAGATGCAAGGTTACAATAAAAATTATCATGGTTTCAAGAAGCCTGAGGTAAGAGTCCTCCACCTCCCAGCCAGTCCCCCAATGCCTTGCGCTCCCGCTTCTTGAAACCACTCAGGTGCAGTCCTTTCGTGACAGTGTTTTGCCTCCGCCTTAGCAGCTGTGTTTGTAGTGTTTTGACATTGTTTTGTTTTAAAATGATTGCTTAAGCACACGGGCAGTAGATGCTCGTCGACAGTGCTGAAATCCGTGAAGCTTATACGCAGAGCACGAGTTCCTGAACACTACTGTTGTACCCCTGCTGTGTTGGCAAGGGTAGCGCTGCATGCTGCTTTCTTCGTGCTCAGTGTCTTTCAAGCGAGATACTAATGATTGAGTGGACACTGGGGAACATTGATGTAGTGTGAATGCAGTGTAGAGCAATTTTGTACAAGGAGGTGCGTATGGAGACTGTTCTGTTATGCCTCTTTACACTGATACACGTCTCATACTTTGGAGCTTTGTTCTTCATTCACACCACGAACTTGGGCCAACTCACTGGAATTACTGTCCTAATAGTAATGCAGAAGTTCTCTCTACTTGAAGCGCACAAATTCGAGCATGTGAAGGGAATTTTTATTTAGTGGCCAGTATTTTCACAGCGCACATAGAGCCATGATGACTTCTATGACTGTACAGAGTAAATGCATAGTGTTGCTCAGAGAGGCATGCAACAGCCAAACTACTGTCAGAAATGCTGAACTGCTTACCTACACTTTCTGGCTCTGTCTAAAAAACTTCTCAGTGCTGTGACACATGATGTACGTAACAGCAGCGCCCTCGGTTTTAGCTGTGTAAATTTTATTATTGCAGAGACAGTACCAAATAACTGTTTAACATATGCAGCGTTGTACGCTCAGTACTGAATACGTAGGGTAACTGTGTATGTTGAGATGTAAGAGCAGCTGACAGTTGCAAGTTATCAGATTTTTTAGGTGGAGCTCTTAACATCATTACCATATGGTATCGGATTCGTTGTAGGAGATGAACTGTCACAGAAGCACTGCTCTAAATGTTCTCTGTTCTTTCCTTCATCCTAGTAATCATGTCCTGTAGAGCTCTGAAGCATGACCAGGTAGACTAAAAGAACCAGTGCTAAATAGTATGATATAACGTGTCTGGGTGTATGACTGACAATATTGGCAAGCGAGCGTCCACTCATTATGTGTACTTGTGGCATTTTGCAATAGTGAAATTTGATCCTGGCTGCCACATTGATACAGAACCAGGCCCTGGAACTGTGCATATGGGGCATTTTATATATCGCAGGTTAAGCGATTAAGCATTTCCTGAGGTTGTTCAGGTGTTCTGTGCTGTATTTGCAAAGGATGAGAAAATGACGTGGAGCGAAATCGTCCACCATGCTGTCAATGTTTGTGCTGGTAATGCTCCACAAAAGATGGGAGCAATATGTTCAGCTTTTTTTGACGTCAGTTTGATATTGTGCACATGCTTGTCCAGTGTCATAAATGCAGTGAAGAAAACCTGAACAATGTCTGGGGAAAGCAGTTTGCGCATGGCTTAACCTACAAGCAGTGGTTAAAAAAGCACATAATGTTTCTCTGCTCTGGAAAGACCAAAGGATTTAACTCTCCAACTCCATGCGGAAAAGGCACCACAGACAGATAGTCAACAAACATTGGTATATTAACGCAGAGTGTGACGCATTTTGACTGTCGTAGCTTGTGGGTAAAAGGAGGATCTACGGAGACTCAATGCGTATCTGCAGCTGCTGTTCTTTCGGGTAATGAAAGGAAGGATCCATCATGTGCAAGCAAAAGGAAGGTCCATATAACTTGTTACAGGGTTATGAGCATCTCATGATTAAGTGTGCAGTGGAAGAAAGCTCAGATGCAACGGGTGTTCGAAGGCCACCACTGGGAGGCCAATGGGAGCACATTCGGGTGATTTGTTTGCATTAGTGATTCAGTGTCAGGAAACACGCAGTTTGTGCAGCAAAGTAGGCCCACTAAGCTAGCCATGTCTGCCATGCTGCAAATGGGCAGTGGTTCCTGGGACAAGTTGAGCGCTTGTTTGTCCGATGTTGCCTTGTCCTATGCAAGCATCTTTATTTTGCATTACGATGCTGTCAACACGTTTCACTGCAGCGTCGCTTTTGACCAGAGTGCAAAGTGGGCATGCATGGCGATCAACTCGGCCACACAATCAGCTTAAAAAGTTCTCAGCATAACTGTGCACCTCGAGATTGCAGCATCATTCTTGTATATTGCTATCACTATAGCCAAGAAGAATTTCACTTTGTGCATCTTCTTTACATCCAGGTGTGTGCTTCCTTAAAATTAGATTCTACATAAATGAGTGTCTGTGGAAAGGCCATTTCATTACATTAAGTTTGTATCTATTAGGTTGGTGTTGCCTATTTAGTTGAGCTTTAGTGACACCAAGAACAAAAAATGTTTCAAAGGTGCTTGTAGTGGCAATTTATACTAATTGTTTTTTATTTGTGCATCAAGTTTCATCATCAAGTTTCATGAAATTCAGCACGGGCATGTAATTTTCTATGATGATTTAAACACCTGTTATGAATTGTGAATCCAATATGGTTTGGATGCATGTTGTTTGCTTGGAGAAAAAATAGCAGGAACTGAAGGAGGGCCAATGCACACAGAAGTGCAAGTAGGTGCAAAAACAATCTTAAAGGGCCCTGCATCTTTTTTTGAGTCTGGTCAAAAAACGCTGGCAATTGGTAGCTCCAGACAACAACCGAAGTAACATAGCGCAGCATGCAGACTGGAATTTGCAATAAATTATCAGTCGGCTTTCTGTTCTGTCTATAAACGATGCTACCGCCTAAAAATCACTGTGTCCCAGGCCAAGTATCCGCCATTGGCTGATTTCAGCATTGCGCTCTCGTTCGTTATTGGGCCGCAGCGAGAGGTTGTGACTTGTCCGTGCCTGCGTTGTTGAGGTAAAAACTTTTATTACAGAAACAAGGGAGGTATGCAGGGACCGCCTCATAAGAGGAGGGGACCCACAACTAGTAGGTGGGCATCCCTAGTGCGGGACCTCATCGGCGTTGGCTGCTTACTGGGCATGTTGAACCAATGCCATTGGGCCTGAAGGTCAGAACAGTCAAGCAGGGTCGCCTCCCACTCTTTCAGGGTATAGTTAATAATAGGGGGTACAGCAGGTTTGAAATACGAGCGTGATACCTACACAGAGACAGGAAAGAGACGAACAAGCGCTTTCTACCAACTGAAAGTTTATCCCGAAATGTATAGGCTGTATTCACCTCAGTAGTGACTATGGTGACCGTGCCTGTTCTTAAAGTGAGGTGGCCCCGTCAGTGTAGTGTAATCGTGACTACAGTGACGGGACCCATCAGTGCAATATTATCGTTAAATTGAGGCGGCCCGTCAGCATAGCGTAATTGTGATTACGGTGACGGCGCCCATCGTAATAGCAATGCATGCATTAGGGATGGGCCCCCGTTGTCGTAAATTCGTAGTCTTTTTAAAAAATCCCTGCATAGTTGTTGTGGGGGCGCAGTGGACTGACGCGCAGTTGTGTAAAGACAGTTGGGGAATGCGGTCATGCCGCAGGTCGTCAGTTCGAATCTTGTTTCGCTATACTTTATTTGTTAGTTAAATTTTATTTATAGCAATGCATCAATATTGATGTACCTGCTTTCAAGGAGTCGTAATTTGGCCTTTTTTTGCAAGAAAATCACATCACTGTTTGTGCCCGTTGTTAGCCCTACTGCATTGATTTTTCGAGATGCAGTGGGTGTGGAACATGATGCGTTGTTGATGTGAGACTTCAGTTTGAGTTGCGCTGACCAACTGAACTTTTCTTTTTTATTGCAATAGTAAATATATGGATACTCTTGGCTCGATTTTGTCACCGGCGTCGTCTTCACTCACAGTATATGTATACGTATCTATATATATATATATATATATATATATATATATATATATATATATATATATGAAAATGCAAGAAAGAAAAAAAATGCAGAAAGAAACTCTGGCGCGCAGAATGGAACCTGGGTCCTCTGAATCGTGAGCGCGAGGTGTTAATCACTGAGCAACCGAGGAGCACGTCTTTCAACGTTCATATGGCAAGCTATATACATATACCTATTACACCGCTGCTGACGGGCATCTTGGAAGTAGGGGGTGGGGGGGTGACTATCCTGTTTTCAGCATTACCAGTAAGATGGTGCAATGAATGCTCGTAGCAAAATTGTCACGATGCGGCGGCCACGCTCTCATCTCCCACGCGCAGTTTTCCCCACAAAAAGCGGGGAATCCCCACTCCTCGTGCGCCCTTATCTCGCGGCAGGGAGGATCGTATGTCTTGGCTGGCGTTTGGCTTTTACCAAAACGATGCTGTTTTAGTTGCCGGGCACACAAAGGTCACTGCAGTCGTTACACAGTCTACGTTTGCGAAAATAGTGCGCTTTTCGGACACAGTGAAGTAACAGTTGAGACGCTTATTCGCGTTTCTCTGTACCTGAGAGTACGTTTTGTGCTTCATTTGTGCGTGAGGAACGCGGGGCACGTTTCAATCTGCTGGCCATTCTGCGTGTGTCCTTCCAGTTTGTTGCTATTGCGTTCACTGCTTTGCCTTTGCGACAAAGCTGTTACTTTTTTTTTCTGCTTTCAATATTGTTTCGAGTAATTTTGCCTATTTTAAAGGCAGCATCCTACAGTAGAGCGATGGGTCGAGCCGCTGGCCAGCGACAACCTGGCGATCAGCTGAGTCGAGGCTATCGCTGACAGACCCGGCTTGCTGAGTGGCAGCTGCCGCAGAGCCCTGGTCTGAGCTCCCTCCACTGCCAAATCTACTGCAGTACTGCAAGTGTAGCGAGTTAAAGCGCGTGGACATAGACTACCACATCGAGGCAATTAATACAATGGTGTAATGATGTAGTTATGAGGTGGCCCATTTTGACAATGCTGCCGATAGGGATGTGCCTCGACATAGTGCTGCTGTTTGTGCTCTTTCTTGAGTCATTGGAGAAGCTTTTATCTGTTTTTTTCTTT